TTTGACCTGAGTGCAAAAATGGAGGCTCTAGACCCTTCCAGAGCTGAGATATCGAAATTCAAAATTTCGACCCGAAAAAAAAACGACAGTGTTACCCCTTTCGTTTTTTTTCGTTTTTGGGCGAAAAATTAAGTTTCTCCAATCTTCTCAAAACTCTGGATTATGATAGAGGGCTGTGAGACTTTGACCTGAGTGCAAAAATGGAGGCTCTAGACCCTTCCAGAGCTGAGATATCGAAATTCAAAATTTCGACCCGAAAAAAAAACGACAGTGTTACCCCTTTCGTTTTTTTTTTCGTTTTTGGGCGAAAAATTAAATTTCTGGGCTAGCTTGCATGGGAGGAGTTTAAGCAGAAGTCCTGAATACGTCCCCAGACGTTTCGCCCAAACATAGTACATATTAAAAAATTAATGAGGAGGGGGGTAGTGATTGATGTCCCGGGTCACTAAAGACCTGAGGTATGCGTTTAAGGGTTAAAAGAACCATATCCATGGATGAATTGCATTTAGAATAGATGGGGTGAATATTCATTTGATGCCGACTTTAAATGCTTCTGTTTGTGTTTGCTTCCTAGGTTTTGTAGAGCTGGAACACATGTTGATAACATGCCAAATGTATTTGACAACACAACAAGATCAAGATCATCGGGGCTGGGGACACAGTACAGCTGAAGCAGGACATGAGGAGGACGTAGCCGCGTGATATACCACCACCACCACCAGGCTCAATGGACCTTTTTGGACTTCAGTGTTTAACTCAGGGGAGCCACGGTGTAACTGGACCATACCGTACTCCCTTCTCTGAACCCCCCGAGCCCTTATTTTGCAGGACCAACACAAAAATATATATATATATATATATAAAAAAGAAAAAGAAAAACAATGTAAGCCCTCAGAAGGCTCTGAATCTATGAATAAGTTGTATGGGGGGAAAAAAACACTTTTTAAAACTAAGATAGACTTTTAGATGGAAACCATGTAATATTGAACACGTCTTTGGGAAAACTTTTTAAAGAACTGTTTTAGAAACCAACAAAACGGATTAAAAAAGAACAAAAAAAACTTGAAAGACAGAACTTTTCGGAAGGAAGTGACAATTCAGGACACGAACTTGCTTCGACTCGGGATGGCCAACTTTTTTTCTTGGAGTGCCTGTCCGTTTCCAGGGGCAACGGCTGCCACAAACCGCAGCCTCCGTCCGCTGGGAGACTTACCTGTCATTCCTTAGTTGTGTAGGGACCAAATGACCAAACCTTTTTATCACAAATGAAAAAAAAAAAGAGAGAAAAAAAAAAGACTCATACCTGTAACATAAACGGACCACTGCATCTCTTGCTGTGCCAATCGGTTAGAGTTGTATTTAAAAAAGATATATGTATAAAAAGAACATATATGACTATATGCATACATATAGATTGCTGATATGCTTTTGAATACTGGCAGAACTATTTCCGATGGTCCGTCGAGGCCGCTCACTTCGCTAGTTTACAATTACTGCTCAAAATGAAGAATATTTATTTTTATTTCTCTTCTAGTTTTTCTCTGTGGTGAGAGAAAGGGTGCATGGGAAGGGTTGTTCCATAATGCAGCCTTACCTTTTCTATCTTATGTCCTGACCTTGTAGTTAAGAGACCATCTTAAAGAGGTTTGAGATAAACAATCCTGTTTATATATAACGTACATACGATATGTATATGTATAGCAGACGTTCAAGCAATATGTATTCATATGTATGCACCTGTACAGCATATATATGGATACATACACGATATTAATCCCAAAACCCATATATGTATTTATATGCATATATTTTATATGTGTGTATATATAGAAACCGGCTATTCAATATGTAGAGCTGTACTTTTTTTGTAGATTTAAGCTGGAGTTTGAAGCCTCTGCTCTGCTTTAGACTTTTACCACTGGGAAGAATCTCAAATCGGCAGCTGCAATCTGCAGGCATTCCTCTCGATCCGATATAACGTTCCGCATCCGCCAACACACACATTCAAAGGAAAAAAAAACAAAACAAAAAAAACAGATTCAGTTTGTGTATATATGTGTATATGCTACTTACAAATGCAAAAAGGCCTCCTCTCGTTTGAGAGTTTCAAGAGAATCAGGATCATTAGTAAATAGTACAGAATACGGACATATCTGCCCTCTGCAAACATTCGCAAACAAACGACGTTACTCACTCGAACCGAGCGCTGGCTTTATCGGTTTACCGTCGAATCGTCAGCAGTGCGTCCTTGCACCTGACAGCACTGTGCTACGACACCGCTAGCAGCCATTCATTATTATGATGATGATGTCAAAACAACGGAAACACTCTTCTTCTTAATAAAATGAAAGAAAGAAAAATAAACAAAAAAAGACAACTACTATAGCTACAGCTAACAGCGAAGCCTTCTAATATGTGTTGACATGACAAACCTGTGCTGTGCAGCTTGACACCGCCATTTACGGATAGACCTACTCGACGTTCTGCTTATGGTTACAATGAAGTGGGCATTATGTACGTTTTGCACAAGTATCGTCAGAATCCGCATCACATTGCGTTTGCACGCGCAGCTTCGGAGTTCTGACTGATTGGCGGGAAGTTTTTTCCCGCTAGATAGGGTTGAGGATGAAACGCGAGAATTTGCCATTGTAGTTATTGTGAATTAAGGATTTTCATTTTGGTTATGCTTTGCAACTGCTCTATTATACAAGATGGCACTATTGTAAATATATGATCATTTCAGAGCTGGAGTAAAGCGTATGTACAGTGGGGTGGGGGGATGGGGGGAAGCAGTAGGCTAGTCAGTTCACCTCATTTCGAAGGGGAATTCAGTTGTGAATCGACGGGTTCCACGAATGTTGCATTTTGCCTTCTAGACCTTTCCGACACATGATCATTCAGGTATTCCAGGATCGTTTGCAAGGAAATGCATTCCGTCTGTTGGATTTCAGTGTCACCTGTCTTTCTCTCCCTTTCTGTCTTTCTGTCTCACGCTCATCAGCTCCCTCTGTGTTAACCGTTTCAGCTGCAACTGTTTACATAGCAATCTGGAAATGTAGTTGACAAAACCAAGAAGACAGAACAGAAATTTTATTATAAATATATACAAGTATATACATGAACTACTGAATATACTGTAAATGGTTTTTTTCCCCCTTCTCTTTTTTGCTCTGTTCCTCTGTATATAGGTTTGCATATTTTATAATCTTTTACTTCTATCTAGAAGGACTGAATGACTAAGAAAATTTAAAGACAAAAAACGAAACTGGATTAAAGCAGGTAAACTCTAGTCCTTAGAGATGCATTATGGTTGTAAGGTATTTAATCACGGAACATAAGAAGAGTCAATCACATTTTAACGTCACTTTCAGAACTGCTGCCAACATGCTATTTATTTGCCTATTTATGTACTCATGCGTTCATTTATTCAAATGTAATTTATTTATTGCTTCATTTTAAAATACTAATATATGTATTTTTTTTTTTATCTTTTCAATGGTTGGATTTCTAACCACACCGAATATATTTTTTGTCATTTAAACTATGCTTTTTATGTTTTTTAAGATATATTTTCACATGTTTTTGAATTGTGAGACACAATGGAACAATGCAACTGGCAGAATCAGGGTAAACCTTTATGAAGAATGTAGAGCTCATGAAGGACTGGTGTGCTGCACCTGTTAGAACTGTCTGCTGTTTTCTTCTGTTCGGCGAGTCCATCCGTCTGCCAGAACAACGATCTGCTTCACTGCTTTTTCAAACACACTGGAAAAAAAGGAAGAAAAACTGCACTAATCCATCAGACTCTCAGCAACTCTTGTTTTATAGCCTTTCTTCATTAGCACTGTCTTCAACTCATCAGAAACAGTCTGAACTTACAGAAACAATGCAGTAAAATGGGGTAAAAAAAAAAAAAAAAAAATCCAGACATTTTGAGCACAGTTGAGCGTGCTGGGTGGTATCTGTGGATTTTTGCCAAGCCTATCACAATGAGATTGAGCTGTATTAGCAGTCGGATTGCTGCCGCAGCTCCTGCCCTGTTCTCAACTACACTTTTCTCTGGTCCCTAGACTCTCTTTTGTAATTTTACTGAATGACGCGTTTCCGCTTAAGCCCAGTAATAAAGCACAGTGTAGAATAAAGCAGCATTATGCTTGTCCCATTTCCTTCTGTATGTCTATACAAGACTTTTTATGAGTTGTTTTTATCTCTTTCTCTCTTTTTATGGATTTGAGGCACGACTGATGTACTCTGAAACCACTTCAAAGGTGGAGGGTTTACATGTGCACACACAGACGCCTCTCTGAAACTTTCTATACAACACTTCAGATCAAATTAGACCAAAAGCCCAGGAGCAATGTTTGGCTGAATCCCATTGCATATACCGGTGCTCCCAGATAGTTTGAAGTATCAAAGCATATATGCGGTGTATATTAGAAAAGCAGGGGAATAGGAAAGTGACGGGACACATTTAAAAAAAAAAAAAAATGGGTTACACCCCTTTGGAAAAGAAATATGAATTTGTTTATATATGAAGAGTTCAGATGCAAAAGCCTCTAAATGCCATTTGAAATTTTCTTCTTTAATGATGATTTTTATCAAACTTGTATATTTAAGTTCAGTAATTTCACTTAAATAACAATTAATAGGTAATCATCATTGCCATTTAAGTGAAATCACCGAACTTAAATATACAAGCTTGATAAAAATGATCATTCTAGAAGAAAATTTCAAATGGCACTTAGAGGCTTTTGCATCTGAACTCTTCATATGCAGAAAGTTTGATGACTAATCATTTTGTGGAAAATGCAGCATTGACTAGAAATGCATCTTCTTGACTAGTCACTCTCATGAAAATTTCTCATCAGATGATGGTGGCATTACACGTTACAGATTGCAGCAACTGTTCTTGAGAATCTCTTTAAACGTTTACGTTGCCAAGTCAGTTTCTTGAAAAGCCTGTAGATTTTTATGGAGCTGTAACTGAATAAACACCACCATTTATTAATAAACACATTTTATTAAGGGAGAAACAACACTTGAATACGTAAAAAAATTAAGACCATAATTATTTCAAGACACTAAAAAGGCAGAATTAAGAGCACATGAATAATTAATGATCATTCAAATGAGTTTGCCACCATTACAAGCCTTCAACAGATGAAAAAGATGTCTTCTAAGATCTCGCTCTCCTCCAGGTCTTGCAAAGAGGACCGACTGGGGCGTAGAGGAGAGAAAACGGTCTTCTGGGAGGACAGAGGGGCGACGAAACTCTTCTGGGACGAGGGATTGATTCGGTACCTCTCTGGGTTAGATACAGGACTAAAAATGTCCAACAGCTCCATCAAAGAGTCATCCCACCTAGCAACGAGAAAAAGAAACATGACTCAGGAAATGTCACATAATTATTTTATACACCAGAATAAAAGTGGACAAGTGGGATTAAAAAGCATAATCATTTACATAGCGCTCTCAGAACGCTACACATCCTCAGATTCCCCTACATAAAAGCCACATTGTTGCATCTGACTAGACAACAGAGTTCACAGGCTTTGAAACATGTGGCCTAAGGGTGGGTATGAAGAACAAGCCAGCACAATTTTTTTTTTCCTAGTTTGGAAGGAAAACTACGAGAGCTGAGCGAGGAGATAAATAAATAAAAGAATAAATAAACAAAGATTAAGCTAATAAAGATTCAACCCCTCAGTCGAGGTGCTTAATAAATTATTCATCGAGTACAGACGTGCACATTTCAGATATAAAACATGAATTCTTAAAGCACGCTCCACTGATGCTGCTAACATAATTCACTGCTCATTCTAAACAGCATTGATTTGCATCCAATGCAGCAGAAGGGATGAGTGGGTATTCATACAGATGTGTGTGTGAGGCAGAAAACGGTGCCATCCACTAAGTGCCTCTGACATTTGAAAGCAGCATTTGCTTCATGGCCATGATAGTGGTGATTACACAAGACACTGAGAAACATGCTATCCACTATTTCCTTCGTGGCTGACACTTTTTGGGTTTGAAATCATAAAAGTATCAGCCAACTACACCAGAAAATGTTTCCACAGAAAGGTAAATAGAAATTAAAGGGTGTCAAATCTTCAAACTTCCATCCTCCTCAGGCAACACATAAGCTCTGTTCCAAAACCAAGTGAGCTCTTTACAGCCTACACCTCTGAAGGCCCAGATATACTTCAAGTGAAATTGAAGAACAAACTGTATGATATCATTTTGAACAAAATCAGGCCAAAACTCAGGCCAAAGTTTGTTTTGTGTGCCTTTCGGGAGTTCAAAAACTTTCCGGAAAAGTTTGCTCTGGCTGGTAAACACCTTCATACTACCATTGGTCTGTGACGATGATGTAATATGTAGGTGTGCTCTGGGACCCTGGCCGAGTAAAAACATAAATACACCAGAGAGCCGCTTTATAGAAATTGAAGTTGTAATTCTAATTCATTATAATGCCAGTGAAAGTCACAGTCTTGCTTTCATACCCGTCATGGCGCTGCTCTGAATAAGGTCTATAAATTCTCATGTATTTCAAACTTTTGAAAAAAGCTCCAAAAAAGAACTTCGCCGTGAGAATATCGGGGCCGTAAGACAACATCTTAACTGAGATGTCGATAAGCATGCCTGAGATGCCTTAAAATGCTGTCTGGGTAGGCAGTTCACTAGACTTTGGAGCAGAGTTGGTAAATCTGTCACTCAATATCGTATTCTTGCATTTAAATGTGACACATCAAGACGCGTCAACCAATTTGAGATCAAACATCATTGGTTCTCAGGTGTCACATAACTGATCGTCACTGACATCAAACCAGAGACATGCGAAACGAGATGCTTTAAAAAAAAGGAATGATTTTGAATTAATATATAAATTCCAGCCCGTTTCTCACAAAAGTTATCGTAGGACTACAGGGAAATATAGTGAACAATATATGTATGACTCCTTTTTAAAGCTACACTGTGCAACTCTTTTAGTTTATTCTTAGCTAAAAACAGTTCTTTCAAAAATATATGCGCTCATTAATGTATATTTACTTCGTTCGAGTAATAAAGTATTCTCGTGGGTGTATAATATGCCATTGAAAATACATACGGGTAAGGGGTTCTAATGCCGGTCGCCATGTTGCCCCTCCATCTCGAAAGTACATAAGCCAAAGAGGGACATACCCGTTAATTCAAGCTTCGCCTTTCGTGTTTACGTTTGAGTTAACACTCATGGACGAGGGTGAACTGGAAGCCATGTTAATCTTGGACTACATTGGCCACCGTAGGAGTTAAAACAAAATCGGAATTGAGAGGAACAGAAACTAATATTCAATGGATGGTCATATACCTTTTCACTGCTAGATGGGGGTAAAAATCACAGTAGCTTTAAGGTGCAGTCACATTAACAAAATGTCTGTGAAATTTCACAAGAAAAAAAAGGTACATTGAAAAAAAGTGTAGAGATGTATGATGCACGACTCACAGAAGTCACTTTGAAACCAAACAGCTTCCTGTTTAGTCAGCGCAGCCTGTGACCAACTTGAATCAATTGCGAAATCTACATAGGAAAATCCTTGCATTCTTATTGAAACATCTGGATTTTTTATTGAATAAAAAAAACGCAGCCAAAACTTTTTTTGAAAAATTGCTGAAAGACCATCTAAAATATTAAGGGTTTGAAACAACATCAAGACTCTCTACTTTCAGGTGAACTGTGCCTTTAAAACCTAAAATTATACCTACTCCTCCCACCCTTCAAATGTCTATTTCAGTTGACCAGATGAGCACTGAGCAAACTGGTGAATCTCTGCACAGGTAAAGATAAGTTTTGAGGCTGACGGATTGATCCCCAGAGTGTTGAACACATGTTCACACAGCAAGCTCAGTGGGGTTCCTGAGCACCTGTTCCTCATGCTGGGACTGATGAAGGTGCCCTAGCTCTGGAAGACATCCTGCATTGTTCTGCTGCCAAAGATCGGAAACCCCCGGATCCCTGAGGACTACAGGCCCGTTGATCTCACTTCACACTTTACGAAGGCCTCTGAGAAGCCGGTGCTTAGACAGACCACCTGGACCCACTGCAGTTTGTTAACCACTGATACAGCTCTGACCCTGGACTCTGGAGGCAGCGTCGACCATTCACCATAAACAAACCTACATGTGCGGCACTATACTGGCTGTTCTGCCTACTGCCATCAGAAAAAAATAACTATAGCTTGCCGTTTACTGCCTATATGAGAGATTCTTCATAAGATACCAGTCTGCATCCTCCAAAAAAGTTTTATGTAGCGTTATTTTAGTACTGTATTTAGTATTTATCATAATTTAGAAATAAAAGGCCCTTTTCTACCCTGATTTTAGCCCTCGGATTTGAACAATCTGTTGGAAGGGGCGTGTCTGCTGTGAGACTTCAATGTGATTGGCTAACTGAAGTCTTAAGTGCAAACAATAAGTGCAAGTGCAACCATAATCAAAGTTAGCACACAGACTCTATAATTGTTTTGAAATAGCGGTTTTATTTTGCACCAGCAGTTGTAAGGGTTAATGTGGCGAGTTCGGAAAAGGTCGGGTAGAGAGAAACGAGGCTGGGGTGTTTGTCTCTATGTTGTTCTTGTGTTCCGATTATAAATTCAGAAACAGAGCCTCCCTTGTCTGTTGTCCTTAAGACATTAGAGTACTCGTGCAAACAGAGACCATAGTGCAAATAAACAGTCCAGAGATGGGTATTGGGAGACGGACCATGAAGCCTAATTTGTGCGCAATGCACATCATTCAGGGAGCTTGTGTTTTCCTTTCAAATTGGTGATCGCGCGTACTCTGCGTATAGGGAGCAGCGATGTTGAGCGTACATTCTACAGGAGAAGACATTTATCAGACGTTTAGTCTTTGTTGCGCAAGAAATTCTCCGCCATTGTCACGCGATCAAAGAATTGTGATTCATGCAGCAACGGCAACTCATGCTGGATGAGCAGAGCAGACTTTTACATTAGTTTATAATGCTTTTTATTTTTTTATAAAAACAGCAAAACGATAGTTCAGGTGAATGTGAGTGTAGCGGTGGAATATTCTATCGTAATCTCATCCTCACGATATTGCGAGACAGCTTTTCACTCGACGGGAAATCTCGTCATATTTTAGTCTCGCGCGACCTTGCGGCACGAGATCTCGTCACACCCCTACATATTAGAAAACACTAATCACAGATAAAGCATTAGAATTAACACGGTTACTTGCATGTTGTGGCATTAGTCGGGTTCATATCTTACAATAAAAGTGTTTGCAAAGTCTACGGTGAAATTGCAATTGATTTACCAAAGAACCCACAGTGAAATGCACCGAAAAAACAAGTAATGCTGAGACATTCACATATTTGAAAATAAATAACCACTTTCCTAGCATTAGGATCCTTTGGAAGGCAATGTTATTTTTAGTCCAGTGATCCTTCTCATTTCACTAATGCGCCAGTGGTGTAGAAGTAGGGGTGTAAAGATGATGTAGAAGTAACCGTTGATCTGATTCTGCAGAGGCCGTCTTTCGTAAAACTGTTATGTCTTAATGTGAAAAAATCCGAAACGTGTTGATTTCAGAGCTTGGTTTTGGTTTCGCTTTCAATAAAAGCTGTTTTTGGACTAACAAGGAAGTTTTTTGAGTTCCGAAACATACGTGTCAAAAGATCAAGCTAAACTGGATGTCTCAATGCCTTACCCCTTTAAGTTTTTCATCTAATATTTTATTTCAGCTTTATTTCAATTAATGAAAATTATTTTTAACATCACTGGTTTGGAAACAACATGTTGTTTAGCGAACGATGATAGTACTTTAAGAAAGAGCACCCAAGAATTTAGGCTTATCTTTTGCAAAATGATGCCTTAAAATACTGCCTAAGTAGGTGGTTCAATGTTTTGGAAAAGAGCAGGTATCTTGCCTTTTTATCTTCGTGGCCACCCTCATACTCATGGATGCAAACTTCCAATGCATATTTCCAATTCTTGAACACTGTATCAGCAACAGCATAAAACAGTTAATGTTGACTCCTACGTTGTTTTTGCACTGTTAACCTGTCAAAATATTTTCCAGTAATACATTCATTATCAAGAATGTTTCATTTCACTCTTGCAACTTTACACTGAATGTTTTTGTGCACTCTCGTTGATGTTGCTGTTATTTTATATAAATGGAGATATCTTAATGAAATGACTTTGCAATAAATATTATGTAACAATAATTATGATCATAAGTAACAAAAGCAAACTTTTGCACTTTATCTGTCAGGTATGTTTCATTTGCTAGTGATTACACAACCAGTTACACGCCTGTTTGAGAAAGAGACCTGCTCACTAAATGTCATTATGCAACTTCATATATTTACTCAAAATAAAAAATTGCTACAAATATTTAATGACATCATAATGGATCAAGCTGCCTAATGTTCTTTTGCTTTTAAGCCTGAAACTTGAATCTAGGTTTCGTTTACATCCATTCCTATGACAATGATAGTAATGTCCAATCCGGGAATCTCATTTTGTCGTTTTGGCGAATGACAATCGATTGCCATCCGACAATTCTTTTGCGCATATGCATGCGGGAAAGAGACAGAGAAAGAGAGCTTACACTAAGGGTGGATGGCTGTTGGGGTGGGACTTTGGCAAGGCTCCCTCTAGAAATGTGAGAATTAGCATTTTTATTTGTTGATTTATTTAACGGACAGGCCTCTCAAACAGCCATCCATCAACGGACGACATTGCCGATATGAATAATGCATTTCTTACCGCCGGTCACAATCTATAACAAGGGAAGGGGTAGGTGTAGTTTGGGCGGGGGAGGGGGATGTTAGGGCGTTGGTAGGAGGAAATTGCCAGAGAGAATGCTAATGTGTTTGGCAGTCATATTTACCCAAAAGCTTTCATTGCTTTTCACAAGGTCCACTGGTGAATGACCACGAGACATTAATATCACTTAAGAGGAGGTTTGCTAATCTCGAACGCTATCAGTTCATTCAACGGATCAGCTAGGCATTGGGAACAGAGTTCAAGATGCCTTGGGGGGTGGGGGGTGGGGGGGTAGTTGAGCTGAGTATTAGTAGTATATATAGTAATATAAATATAGTAAATATATATATAAATATAGTAGTAAATATAGTAAATAGTAGTATTTAACTCTAGATTATTGAAGAGAAAAAAAACTAAATCTTAAATTCTACAAAAAGAATAAAATAAAAAATATTTTTATATTATATCATATTTTTTAAATGAAATATATATAATAAATAATATATATATATGTGTGTGTGTGTGTGTGTGTAAAATTTGAAAAATGAAAAAAAAATCTAAGTGACTTAATTATCAGCGAAGCTGTCTTCACAGCCATTTGCAATATTTTTTTGAAGAGTACGCTGTAGTTTTCTGCTCGGCGGTGGATTTTTTTCACATTATAAACAATGTACTAGAATCTCTACTGGTTAACTCATCAACTCAAGCTTCTACTCTCATCAGCGTGAGAGTAAAATGTAGAGAGGATGAAAGACACTGAAAAAGAATCAGGTTCTACTTCAATAATTCCAAACAAAAGACAGTTTATCAGTTTCCTTTGCCTCTGACTCCAGTTATTTTACTGTTCTCATTAAAAATGTCTGTCACGCCTGAGAGCCCAAACAAATTTGGACCAAAACAGTAATATAAATATCCTAAACATAAAGTACTGACAAAGCTGCATGTCAATTTTCTTTCAAATCAATAATATGAAGCTGAGGAGAAGCACAGCCCATGGGCAGGAGCACTGACATTTCTCACTTCAGCTCTATCAAAACAGCCCTGAATTTTTTTTTTTCAAATTCCCCTTGTAAAAGTGAAGAGGAACAAGTGAAGTTTACAAGAGATGGCCCAAGTCTGCACTGCACAGGTTAATTTGAAAAGGTGAAGGCAATTTGAAAGAAGGACGTGGTTTGATAAGTGTATTGTTTTCATGAGTCTTGCAGAAGTTGTTGAGTTTTATCAGTCTGACCGCATAATTCATTGCCTTCTCTCTTTTGTGACACTAGCAGTCTACTAACACTCTTCTGAGTATTTTCTTATATTTTCAAAAGGAAATGTGAGGAGCTAGCAATGCAAAATACACCATAATGAATTTATTTAAAGTAATACATATATATATATATATATATATATATATATATATGTTCAAATCGCAAAGTCTCTGTGATCTTTTTCAATGTAAGGAATTTTACGACAGTTTTATCACCCACCATGAAAATAGTAAGTCTCCTCAATCATTCATTTCCACAAACGGGGTGAGACAACAAATGTGCCAAAGTTTAATAAATTGGGTTCAACATTTCTACCACAAAGTATGAAAAAAAGTAATAGTGCTTTACCAAAATTTTAAAATCCCTCAATTTAAAAGTGTGTAATAATGCAAGAATTAGTCATTTGGGTTCACACACCCGAAGGACACTCAAAGAAAACTACCTGTTTCGGTGGAGTGAAATGTTATGATTTATATATGATATCATGTTATGATAACTAATAATAATTTTCATTAACCCAAACTTTTATCCCCAGGGCATCTTTCTCCTTTTAAGCAAACTCAGTAATACAGTAATTAGTAATACAGTGCTTGTCTATTGATTTATTGCTGGCTGACAAGGACATTCGGTAGTTCTTCTAAAGACTATCCCTGTGGCATCAGACCTGAAGTTGTCCTGGAAGCATCCAACCTCTGGCTTCTAAAAAATAAATAAATAAATGACTCGCATCATTGATTTCCTCAAATCAGGTTTAGTTTTGAATAATGCAAAAGTACCCTCCAGACAGTGGGATACAATAAATTATTTATTGTCTATATATACAGTATATATACACTTTCCATAGTGCAGGTTAGAGTAAATGGTTATCTTGTAAGAGTTTATGCACCTTTTAAGCATTAGTGATTCCCATGATTCTCTTCTAACCGTGTCAAGATCGGCAAAGGCAAGTGTCCCCTTTTAAATCAAAATATGACTTGCATTCCAGATGTACAGAAATGTAATGTTCTATTCCCATTCATTATTTACAATTTTACATAATTTACATTTATTTTTTATACATTTATTTTAATTCCTATGAAATTCTGTAAAGATTTTCTTACCATTTGAGCAATTTAATATTGCCATGTGCAACACCTTAACTGGAATAATATTTATTCAACTAAAATCTTAATCAATAGACCGTACTTAGGGAGATGTCTAATTAAAGATCTATTTTATTGCCTATTTTATCACATTTTATCCTATTTGACGTCACAATGAAAGGTGAATCCGGAACGGTCACTTAAAATTCAACAGTTTGACTTCCATCTAAAGGGATACTTCAGGATATAGCATTAAGCTTTGTATTAGTGATAAACCTGTAGTATTTTCGAATTACCATGCTTTCCAACCTTATATTCTCCAGAGACGTGACATATCCCCCATGCAGACTCATCACAGAGACTCACTAGTAACCAAGACTTGTTGTTTAACTACTGCGCTTTGTTACCGGTAGGCATGGCCTCCTAGGGCAGCGAAGCAAGTGCATTCTGGGAGATATTGTCTTTCATCCACATAAGCCAAAACTACATTTTCTGGCTTTTCTCAGTCTAGAAAGCTCCAAATTCAAAAATAATTTAATATTTATTCAACATAAATGACCGATTTTAAGTACACCATCTTTCCAGAGGTGAAGTATCCCTTTAAGAGACACATCTCTGCCTTAGTCTTAGTTCGCATTTGGCCCTTATCAAGTTCCCTGGTACAGTACATATTAAGCATACGCAAGTATTCAATTCCCTGTCAGTTCTGACATTCTCTTGGTATGCCTCCCACAAATATCATGCACACAAAGCAACCTAATTTTCCCAGCCCCTGTAAAAGTTCTGGCTCGGTAATGAAACATCTGAGACAGAAAGAAACATATTAATGCAAAATATTCACCATAACACATAATACAGGAAGAAAAAAGGCAATTACTTTTGAAGTCAGTACATTTTCTCCTAGAAATACGCCTAACAAACGACTTACAAATAATCTGCATTTTTCAGAGATGGCGTGTTAAACGAGACATGCTCATACTCTCGCAGTGAGGGTTGGGGGAGGGGAAAAAAAAGACATGCTGTCACATTAATTACCTTTCTACGTTAAAAGAAAACGGTAATGAATTTCCTTCCCTATCCCAGAGTGTGTCTCGCGCTAGCGGTCAGTGATTCATTCTCTGCCTCACTCTTTCTCATTAAGCTGAGGGGAGGCGGCGCATTCTCGGCCCGAGCTGGAAGACTCGGTTCAATTACACCTGCTGCTGGGCCCTGCTACGCCAGCTAATGGGACTCAGCTTGGCTCCTGTCAGCCTCAGCGCTGGTCGGCAAAAATCTTCATTTAACTCATCAAACAGGCCTCGCACTGCGTTGGACCCAGACCAGCTTTCTCTTTTTTTTCCTCTTCGTTCACTTCTTCTTCCTTTTTCCCCGTTTTATTTAGATTTCCCCATGTATCAAATCTCCTTCCTCTTCTCCTCTTTCACATTCTTGCATTAACAGGCTCTATCACAAAGGCAAAGACTCCAAAAACACAATTAATACATGGGCTTGGACCCTGCTGTGCTGTTGAGCCAAAATTGCTGTAATTTCCCTCTTTTCACTCCTTCTTGAATTGAACTTGTTAAATTGTATTTACTGGTATGGTTCTTTTCATTGAGTTTCCTGAAAGCTTATCTCAAGCACCAGGAGTTTTCCCCCATCTTTAAATTGCAACAGCAGCCTCTCTACAGAATCCCAAATTGACAGAGTGGCCACACAAATGGCAAAATTAAATGTTTTGCTCAACTAAAAATACAGAAAGGGTGTGGAAAAACACATTGGCTGTGCTAGACAGCTGGGCAGGACCTAGACAGTCTGTGATGACTTAGATGAGTGTATAAAGAAACCAATCCATGGCATAGAAAACAAAAATGGACCCAAGACACCCTGAACACCTTAACTCACCTGGAGGCCTGTGGAGTCCTGGGAAGACCAAGAGGAGGAATTTTGGGAAGAGCAGATGTCCGGAAGCTTTCTGGAATCACAGGAGAAGTGGCCATATCCTTTTTGGTAATGGAGATCTCTGCAGGGAGAAAATTATTACATTTTCCATTAAGAAGGTAAAGTAAAAATCAGAAAGGATTAACTTACTGAGCATAATGTTAACATACCTTGTGAAAGCTTGGGTGTAGGTTGCTTAATACTTGTTTGTTCCTGTGACTGTATGTTACTCAGCGGTTGTTGAACGCATCTCTGCAGAATGTGTGACTCTTGCCCTTTTATTTCACTGCTGAATAAGAAATAGAGAGAAATATAGTACTCTACACCATTTAAAAGTTGGAGTTTCTTACCACAACTTCATTTATTTGACCAAAAATACACTAAAAACAGTAATATTATGAGATATTATTACAATGTAATCTTTTCTATTTTAAAGGTGCAGTGTGTAATTTTTAGCGGCATCTAGCGGTGAGGTTACGAATTGCAAACATCAAAAGTCACGGTAGCCAGTTAAGCATTGAGGTTTCATTTCAAAGGATAAAGTAAGAAATTATGTTATTATTTAGTAAAACAATAAATGATTCAGAATATTATTGTTACTCATTCATACTCATTGTGTCAGTGTTTTATTCCCTGACTTTAGCAAGCTCCTTTGCAAGAACAATAACATAGTGACGAAATGCGTTTGTTCGCGGCACAAAAATGGTACATTTCAATGGAAGGGGATCAGTGGTGTATATAGATAGAAATGCCTCATTCAATAAAAACATAACTATTCATTAAGTAAGGTCTTTATACACCACTGAAAACATAATTATGTATATTATATTGCATTTCTGTCTACAGAGCCTCCTAAATATTACACAATGCAGCTTTAAAATATTTTAAAATGGAATTTATTCTTGTTATGGAAAGCTGAAAAATCAGCAG